AATAAAACAAATTACTTTAACTTACCTGAAGGATAAAGACAGTAACACCAGAGAAATTAGTCCAAAATCTAGATGTAACTAATTAATGTTATCAAATAAAGTATAAATCATGAATGGTTGATCAGTTTGGGGCACAATATATCTTTGTTGCATAAGTTTACCCAAATATGAAGAAGTTATCATAGCTTGTACCCCTTTAGAGACTACCCCTAGGCCTTTTATTATTTAAGTGGGATGTCAACATCAAGTAACTTTAAACCTCATGGCTTTTATTTTTTAATTTAAAAAAAAAATGTATTTAGGAGCCGGGGAGATGGCTCAGTGAAATACGTGCTTCCCTGGCAAGCGCAAGGGCCTGAGTTCAATCCCCGGTTCTGCAAAAAAAAAAAAAAAGTATTTAGTACAGGGTTTACAGGTTTCACTACACAGATGGGACTCATGGTGATCCTTCCTGTTGTTCAGCCTCCCAAGTGCTGGGATTACAGGTGCGTGCCACCATGCCCAGTCTTATTCCCTGTCTCAGTGGCCTCCAGGGGTGGGGCCAGCACAGCAGGCCAGGGATGGAACCCCTGACCCCTGGGCCTGCCTAAGCAGGCGCTTTAATCTGCTGAGCTGTCTGGCCAATAGGTGGCTCCCCCACAGCTTTTTGGACATTATTCCAAACCTTTATATTTGTAAAATATCAAAGCCCTATTTTTAATTTAGGACTGTAAAACAATCAGACTTACTAGGAATAAAATAAAAAAACAAAAAAACCCAAATTTACTAGGAATTAAAAAATCTTAAGTAATCTTTTAAAATATACTTTAATCACCTTAAGGGGAAAATGTGAAAGCTTTTCCTCACCTCAATTGTGATGGAGAGAGGAGCCCACTTTATTTCTGTTTTTGTTTTTTGTTTTTGGTTAGCTTTTATTCTTGTGGTAATGGCCCTTCACCTTTGTAGTAGCCCTACCTGGAGGCCATCCACACTTGCATTTGAAAAGTCTTTAAAATGTTTTTCCTTTAATTAATTTTTTAAACATTTTTTTATTTTGTGGAACTGGGGATTGAACTCAGGCCCTTGCGCTTGCCAGGGAAGTGCTTATTCCACTGAGCCATCTCTCTGGCCCCTAATTTTTATTTTTTAACCTAATATTTCTTTTTAATAATTTTAAAATTTTATTAAAGAATGACCAAATGAGCAATGCAAGAATCTGGTGTGGTTGAAACAATGGTTTGGATAGAACTATAACTTTGATTTCCCTGTAAAAACAGCTTTGATTACACCAAACAAAACCCACAGAAGATTTAGCACTGGGACTCTTGTCTTTGGTTGGTTTTCCTCCCTAGCTATGCTTGGGGAGCTGCTAGCAGCAGCTTGATGGTCTTAGTGCCTACAAAGGGTTTTTGGGGCCCACATTACCTCCTAGAGCTCTAAGGGAGCTGTGGCCTTGCAGCTGTGGCCTCTGGGTGCAGTCACTGTGTGTGCCCACTGTCGCTTGGGCTCTGACCAGTGGATGTTTTGATTGTGCCCAGATTTTAAACATAGATACTATTGATATAGGGGAATGAAACTCCCAGCCTGAAAGATACCTGGGACGAGTTTGTGTTCTCTAAAACCGAATTAATTTTACGAACAAATGGAGGTTAAGTGCGGAATATTTATTGGGAGAAAGAAAGCGTTTGTCCAAGAGAGGGACCGAAGGGGGACCCGAGCGGGTTACCCCGGGAAGCTGTCTCTTCTAGAGATTTCTATAGCGTAAACCCGTGTGGGTGGAGAACATGGGACCTCGTGTAGGTGGGCCTGAGGTGAGTCAACCCGTGAGATGACAAGCACCACTGCTCGGTAAAATTGATTAAATCCAGGACCAAATGGGGAGGCGAGTCATGTAGAAAGCGGCACTAGTGTGGACAGGCGTTTCTCTGGCAGGCAGCCAGTAGCGGTTGGGCTAGATTGGTTAGCTCAGTCTGTTTCCTATTGGCTTTTATACATTTAACATTTTTTTCCCCTTGGGGATTATAAGGAATTCCTGAGATAAGGGAGATATGCAAAGCTTTACAGAACTTTCAGAAGACAGCTAGAACGTTACCTATAACTAAATGACCTCCGGTTGTTTCTTGGTGACACAGGGCTAAGCAGTGTAGTGTAAGTTCCAATATGCATAAGAAAGAGGCTGACTTCTAGTTTGTGTGTGTGTGTGTGTTTTTTTTTTTTTTTTTGGTGGAACTGGTAATTGCACTCAGGCCCTTGCACTTGCCAGGGAAGTGCTTATTCCACTGAGCCATCTTCAAGGCCTTGACTTCGAGTTTTAATAAAGATGTTGCAGCATAGAAAACAACAGCGTTAACTCACAACCATCTAGAGTCCAAGTAGCAGGTGTTTTTTTTTTTTTTTTTCCTGTATTTTAGGGAAGGGTCTGCAGGGCAGGTCTCACTACTAGATCATACTCACAGTGATTCCTCTGTTTATGGCCTCCAAGTGCTGGGATTATAGGCGTGCGCCACCATGCCCAGTCTCAGTCCCTGTCTTAGGGGTGGAGTGGGAGGGCATCGAACTTGGCTCCTGCACTTGCTTGCAGGCGCTTTAATCCACTGAGCTATTTGGCTGGTCCTAGTTTTTGTTTCTTTTACTGCTTGTTTAGCATATTGGAAATCAGTGAGGAGGGTTAATGAATCAGAGCAGTCCTGTATTAACATAATGGCAACTAATGCTGCCTTTTGAGTAGAGCAAAAAAGGAGTTTGTTTTTATCTTTTTTTCTTTTTGACAAGCCTTTCTCATCCAGTTTACCATAATTTAAACAAATAATACACGGCATAACATTTCCCAATCATGAGCAAGCAACCTTGTTCATTTGCTGTTGCTTGTGTTAATCCAGTTACGTAGGTTGGCTGCATCATGAGGTGAGTGTTGCAGAGACCACAGGAAAAACTAAGCCTTCGGGTCTCTGTTTTCTTCCTTCCAGTAAAGCCCGAGTCCCTGTCCCTTATTGTCATATGGAGGAGTGGAGGGTTTAGTTAGGAGAGGAGGCAGAGGTTGAATTTTAGCAAACATTGAAGGTGGAGTTGAAACATCCAGTGGCCCCTCCAGTTTGGATACCCTTTGCAGGACCCGCCTCCTGGGTCTGAGGAGTAGGGGAACGCTCCAGGACAGGGAGCTGCAGAGCTGCTTGCTTGCACTCCTCAGTGTCAGTCAGGCTGCAGGGATTCCAAAGCCAAGGAAGTCAAATTACGCAGGGACCACACACTGGCTCCTCCTAGTTGACTAACTGCTAGAGCTCTTATAACTTGTTTCCAAACTTTTAAGTTTAAAGCAACCTGTCCCTTAGGCTGTAACCAGTAACACTGCCTCTTTATAAGAGAACATAATTCTTCGAAAGTACTTGGTGTCATTTTAATCGTCCAGGTAAGAGGACATATTTACTGTCCTTTACCCTGAGTTTTTCCCACTGGTCTCGCTTACCCTGAGCATACATTGCCCCGCAGTCCAGCAACCCTTAATTTAGTTTAAACTTTCTATGGTTGTCTTCCCCGCCTCCACACTGGGCACCACATGTTGTCTGTTATCTGTTGGAGCGAAGGAAACCGTGGGAAGACGGGATTAGTTCAGCCTCACTGAGCTTAGTCTTGCTGACCCACCAAAACCTCTCGCGTTTATTGCGGCTACACACGTTCCCTACGTGCACGACTGTGCACGGCTGATTTGGCGTGAGCACGCTGCTGTTTGCATCTCTCTTGTGGCACTCACCAAACTCTTCAGGCTGCACGTCACTAGCTGGCAGCTTCCCTCCAGGAATTTGTCACCTTGTCTCCAGCCTGCTGGGATTACAAGGAGCAGGTTTCCTTAGGCTCTGTGCTTTGTGTCTTGCTCCCGCAGGACGGTAAGCTGCTGACTCATCAGTGTACCCAGGCTGGCATCAAACATGGGGCAACCCTCCTGCCTCAGCCTTCCCAGTGCTAGGGTTGTGAGCGTGTGCCTCTGTGCCTGGCTGCCACCAAGACTGTGCCGTGAAAATCTTAAGATACTTTCATTTATTTATTTACTTTTTTGAGCAGAATATATTTACTGGGGGAAAGAAAGCTTCTGTCCAAGAGAAGGACAGAAGGGGGGCCCTGAGTGGGTAGTTCCCCACTTTTATCACACCTATCGAACTTTTTTTTATGTATTTAGGACAGGGTCTACAGGGTCTCACTGTGTAGATTGGACTCACAGTAATCCTCCTGTTTCCAGCCTCCCAAGTGCTGGGATTACAGGCGCGTGCCACCACGCCCAGTCTTTTTTTTTTTTTTTTTTTTTTTTTTTTTTTTTTTTTTTTTTAATGTATTTTAGTACAGGGACTACAAGGTCTCATTACACAGATCGGACTTGTAGTGACCCTCCTGTTTCTAGCCTGCTGAGTGCTGGGATCGCAGGAGTGCACCATCACGCCCAGCCTCAGTTGCCATCTCAGTGCACCCCGAGGGTGGAACCAGCACCGCATGCTGGGCTTGAACCCTGGTCCCTGCGCCTGTCCAAGCAGGCGCCTTAATCTGCTGAGCTGTGGTTGGCCCTTATCACACCTGTCGAGTCTATCCATCTGTCTCTTGATTTTTTTAAAAGCATTCCAGATAATTTCTAGATAGACTTCTAAAATTTTAGTTTAGAAATTATTAACTAAAGCTCTCTTTTTACTGAGAGGAAAATTTCCAGAGTACAGTGTGCTCTGAATTTGCAGAGGCAGTGTGTGCACCATGTGACCCAAGCCTGTAGCTGCCACTTAGGAGGTGCGGGTGTGGTGGTGCGCCTATAACCCCAGCTCTTGAGAGGCTATAAATAGGCGGATCGCTGTGAGTCCAATCTAGTTGTGAGAACCTGAACGCCGTGCAGACTCTTCCCTAAAATACAAAAAAAAAGGAAGTCTTTTGTGGCTGTGACTTCTGCCTTCTGAGGATTGAGAGCTGCACTCTGCCCAGTGCGGCGGGCGCATCTGAGAACTTCTGCTCAGCTGGCCGTGCTCACAGTTCTCCTGTCTGGCCGCCAGGGTCTCGACACTGTGCACAAACAGAGAGTGGCTGAAGTGCTCGGCGACCCCGAGAGCACGGAGAAGCGGCGCAGCCGGGAGAGCCTCAGCTCGGACGTGGTCAAGTACGAAAGCGGTGCCGACGGAGGGGAGGAAGTGAGTATGAGCGTAGAGTGGAACGGGGTAAGTACGCACGCGCATGGCCGGGCCCTCTGCCCTGCGCTTGCCCCGCTCCCCTCTGGCACGGTGCCAGGGAGGCTTCTGTAAGTCCTAACTCACGCTAACCCTGCAGCTCTGCCTCGAGAGGGTCCTCCCCAAGGAGCGCTGCCTGAGCGCTGCATGCTGACTGAGTGTCCTGGCCACTCAGTGCCATTGTGCTCAGGGACCAGCCTTTGGCATGGCCTGGACAACTAACTTGCTGCTAACTCGCTGTCTCACTGCTAACCCAGGCTGCTAACCTCCCTGAGCAGTTGCTCAGGATTTGTTGCTGACATTGCTTTCGTGGCAGAAGCTGTTTAATTGGATTTTACTTTTGAAAAGAACAGCGCATGAGCAGAAACGTAGGGTGGCTGCTGTCCTGCTGAGTCGAGAGCATCCTTGGTCCTCTCTGGAGTCCCTGAGTCAGTCTGCTCTTCATCTGGGGCTGCCTGGCTATCATTCATCCAGGTGGACCCCGAGGGGTTGCACAGCCCTGCCCTGCTCCACGCTCTCTTGGGAGGGCTCCTTGCTGCATGCCCAGTGGCAGCCAGTGGTCCCTCTGGAGTTCTTGTGGTCCGTGGATGCTCTCTGTTCTGAGCTGGTGTCTTTGGGAGTGTGCAGGGAGTGTCAGGTGCAGAATGTATTTCGCCCCCTTAGGCATACAGGTCATTACTGAATTGTTACCATGCAGTTTTGTTAGATTACGATATGGGACTTTCTTACCGTCTTAAATGTTTTTGGTTTCTATTCAGCTGTAGCAGTTCAGTAGGAGCTAACATCCTGACCAAATACTTTATAGATGTTAGAAGCTAAAATTATAGAGAGAACATTCTCTGGACCATCTTCACTTCTGTTTTCTTGCTGTGGTTCTTTCTGTGCTAAGACATCCAATCAGCATCTGCTCTGATGGCACCAGCCTGGCTGCAGTGGTTGCGGACTACAGCAAGCCTGGGAGGCCGCCTGTGCTGGTCCTGTCTGAGCTATGTCCTGTCCTCTCGTGGTCACTCCGGCCACTGCATGCTTTGTCTCAGGGGCCCCGCTGCTTGGTCTGCCAAAGCCACGTGCCCAGTGACTCCTGGGTGAGGTTCTGGAGGGGTTTTCCCAGAGACAGTATTTCTAGGTCCACACTCGCACGACCCTCGTGATGGGCTCGTCTCCAGCCCAGAGTTGCGCCGAGTCTTCAGGACTCCCAGGGCCTTCCCAGCGCCTTCCCAGGCCTGGGTGACAGCTGTGCTCCCTTGAGTGTCTGCCGTTTGCACACACTGCACTGGCAGGGCTGTGCCCCTTGCCTGACAGTGTTGTGGCATAGTGCCCTGGGGTGGGAGCCAGGCCGAGCCTCTGGGTTGGGTGCCTTGGCCTGGCTGTCCTCTCTGGCAGGGGCACACTGTGCTCCCCAGCTTCTGATTGAAATTTATTTTCACAGCATGTTTTTATAAGGTGTGTGACTGCAGTGTGCACACGTGGGATTTTTTTTCCTTTCTGTAGTGTAGGGGATTGAACTTAAGGCCTTCACACCAAGCAGTAGACCTAGCCCTTTATTTTTTTGTAACAGAGTCTTTTTCTTTCTTGTAATACTGGGGATAGAACTTAGGACCTTACACTTGCCAGGCAGGTGCTTATGCCACCGAGCTCTCTCCCTGGCTCTGTGACAGGGTCTTGATAAGCCGATAAGTTGTCTGGGCTTCAGTCCTGCCTGTTAGTTCTCGGGTCTCAGCCCCACGGCGTGCTCCGTCAGGCTCTTCTTGGCAGTCTGCTCTGCTGAGGTAGCAGGTGGTAAACGGAGTCCATCTGAAGATGGGTTGGTTTAGAGTCGAACAGTGCAGCGCAGCATGTTGGCTTGTCTCTACTGATGACAAAAAAGTTTCTCCTGCTGAGTTTTTTTTTTTTTTAATTTTATTTATTTATTTGTGGGGGGGCCAGCTCAGCCCACCAGGGGGCGGGCTGGCTGGCATGTGGTGCTGGGGGATTGAACCGTGGTCCCTGGGCTTATGCTAAGCTTGTTCTAAGTAGGTGCTTTAGACCACTGAGCCATC